TGTGTGTGTGAGAGAGAGGTACAGCAGGAGGGCTCTATATGACTCTTACTTGCTGATGAACTTATTTTCTCCGACCTGAACCACGTCCTGCCTGATATCCATCGTCCGTCAGCCAGGGAGACACATCGGCAGAGCTGTGCAGAGAGAGACGGAGGGAGCCGAGGACAGTGAACTGGAGAAATGGGGGGAGTGAGAAAGGTGGGAGAGGAAAGAGAGAGAAAGATTAAAACACATAAAACACAACCATTCAACCAAGAGAAGACGACTGAAAAACAATCACCAGACTCTCTTCCTTCCCACTGAACCCCCACTACTTGGTTTCCTTTCCACTCTGAAATGAAACTCCACACTGGGGGGGAGGGACACCAAAACCGAAAGCCGTAGCATTTCCAGAGTTAAAAGAAGGTGCCATTCATTTGATAAAAACCATGAATTCACATGTTTGACATGTCTGTCGGGAGCTTCTGTCTGTTGTGGAGACTTTTTGTGCAGTTCTGTCCTCTCGTTCAAAATGAACTTCCACCACCACGCAGACACACAGCCACGTTGTTTCAAAGCACAGAAAGGCTGTTGGGAAGACTGGAGAGGACTGGAGGCACCGGCTGCAGACAGACAGACGCTCACACATCACTAACTTCAGTCTCATGCTGCTCTCATGACCAGAGACAAGTTCTGAGGCCCTGCTGCTATGACGAGGATCATGCATTTTCAATTCTAATGAACAGTCAACAGTTACCCAGTGGTTAGTCCTGGACATCACTTCTGGTTTCGGTTTGCGAAACTGATAGAAGATAGAACTATGAATGCTCTTAGTTTTAAGTAAAGAAAGAACTGTGAATGCTCTTAGTTTTAAGTAAAGAAAGAACTGTGAATGCTCTTAGTTTTAAGTAGAGAAAGAACTGTGAATGCTCTTAGTTTTAAGTCTGCCAATCGTGGCTCACTTCTTTATAACATTAAACTGAATTTAGAGCGATACAGTTGCATATGCTATATTGTTTCCTATTAGATAATCACTTTGTCCTTTCCCAGGTCTCTCTGCAGAAGATGTTGTAGACCACTCCAGTTTAGCGGTTTGCCCCTTTCGGTGCAGACAAGGCCGAGAAAGAACTGACCATTGCAGATTCCTAATTTCCTATTCCAGGAGAAACCAATTCCGTGTCCCGGAGGGCTGGCGTTTCTGCTAGGTTGCTGGGGGAAGGTTGCAACCTGTCCCGCTAAGCCAGTAATGAGGGGATTTAGCTTGTTACTGAAACCCTGCAGACACACTGGCCCTGCAGGATCAGGACGGCCCACCACTGTTTCATTATTTTTGAAAGCTGGAATCTGCAATGATTTTTTTATTGAATAGTCCCCCAACTCACAGTCGCCAGCAGTTCTGAAGACTCAGCTGATGGCCACACTCCCCGAGTTGCTCTGCCCTGACACGCCCACTCATCTGAGCCATTCACCTCTTTAACCACGCCCCGAGATCCACAACGCCCGGCTGGGTCTGCCCAGCCCAGCAACTGGTTTGTGACTGTCCGGACTGGGGTTTATGAGTAAGAACTGGCTTGAACTACTCACCAGCTCCTACCAGTAGAAGGTAAACTGTTGCTTTACTGGACCTGAGTGGAAACTACGTGGAAATTTACTTAAACCAGAAAAAACAGAAAGCACTTCTTTACACAAAGGGCTGTGGGAGCATGGAACAAGCCATGTTGTGAAAGCTGATGATTCCCTTTACTTCCTGTTAGCTGGACACCGCAGTCCATGTGAGAAGTGAAGGAACTTGGAGAGACAGAAAAATAAAAGAACGTCTCTTTTTCAGTTCCCACAATTCAATTTCAATCCAACGTTTGCTAAGGCTGGGATCAGCACTGCGTTCGTTGCCTCTAGCAATTCTATTCCTTACCAAGAAACTGAAAGAAATTTCACTGATGTTTGCCAAGACACAATCCTGTCACCAATGGGTAAAGATTAGGGTTGCAGAAGCACATTTCTGCAACAGATCTCTTTTCCCACCATATTCTGGTTTGGTCCCATACGCTGATGATCAGAGAATGCTCACAGAGAAGTTCATCACAAATATTAGGCTATGAAATGATGTGCAGTCAAAGACATTGCAGTTGTACACTTGCTTGTACAGTACATCAGGGCCCCAGTTTAATGTCTCATTCACAGGACAGTGTCCCCATACTGGGGCGTTGGTTTGGAAATTCTGACCCAGAGGGAAGAGCACCACCTACTGGTCCACTTAAATCAGCAGGAACTGAGTTCTCTTTGGCCACGAGGACTCCCACATTACTTTACATCTCCAGGCGCAGGAGGAGTGCAGGGGGACCTCATAATGCGTCTTAAGAGACTGGGCAAAGACTGAGATACCCAGACACCACACTGGGAAAATGTCAATTTGCATTTGCAAAACTTTTTCTTCCAGAAGCAGAAGTGTTCTCTTGGTGATGATACATCTGGCTTGTATAAATGCACACAAGGGATCTATCCAGATACAGTGCATGTGTTAGCAATGGTACAACGAGTCAATAGAGCGGGTGTTGGTGCTGAAACGCTGTGATTTTGTGCCGCTCATTGTCTGATTGACAGCCCCTTATTTTCAACTAGGAATTTGAACTTTTCAGAGTAAAGCACGTTTTGGGATACCTAACGTTCAGTCTGGTATGAGCCTCCCTTGCTTCTGAGGACTGTTTGAAAATAAAATGGGGAAAAAAAGCTGAAGCTATGAAAGAGGAAGAAGGTGTTTATTAAGCAAACTCGTTTTCCTCTGCAGTCCGAGGCACAGCGGTGACGGCAGGGCCTCTGTGAACGGAGCACCTCCATGCCTGTAAATCCTGACTGCATGTATCCGGAGTCTGGTCATCTGCAGGCCGTTCGAGGATATAATAGGAAAGTACAAACCACGGCCCTCTGACTGGAGGAAATAATAAATCTCTTAATTTGACTACTGTGGTTCCGCTTCAATACGGATAAACGTTCTATTAATAAACGACTGTTCTTTTAGAAGAAACAGGTGCTCATGCACAATTCAGACCAGGACAGTACACCTAGCCCATGAACAGGTGATATGAGACTCTTCACCTGAACACCTCTGCTCACTGAGCTCACTCCACCAGGCCTGTAACAGCACTGTCCTACTGTACTTTTACTACAGCCTCTACTGTAACAGCACTGTCCTACTGCACTTTTACTACAGTCCCTACTGTAACAGCACTGTCCTACTGCACTTTTACTACAGTCCCCACTGTAACAGCACTGTCCTACTGCACTTTTACTAC